TTTTCTCCTTAGCATTTATTCAGACACCTTAAAAAAAAACACAAGATATTATGCATTCCTTTGCAGCATGCTTAGATCAGCAAACAATCAATTTTGAAACCTCTTTAACCCCATAGCAACTTGAATATATCCTATTTTTGTAATTAATACTAAATTGCTGGCTTTACTGGGTCTCATTGCATTGTTCCATTCTACTCTGCCATGATCACAACCTTTTGACATGCTGGCCCATAGTTAAACAACGATAGTGACGAATGGAAACCCAGTCACACCTGGCCTTGGCTGATACTGAAAGGTTGAATAAGGTTAAGTTGTGTGAGTAATTGATAGGGAGACCACAAGAAATTCCAGAGCTCCGAGCCAAAAAATATGGGTAAAATGGTGAATTACTTCCTAATGTTGCTTTTTTTAAAAAAATAACCCGCTTTGGAATAGTCATGAAGTTCCCAGACATGAAATTACCCTCCAAGAGGACTTGACTTTAGTCTGCAAGAAGATACAAGATGACTGGCAACTCCAAACAAGGAGGCTTAGTGCCTTAAATAAGTATTGTTTACCGTTTATTTATTTGTGTTAATAGCAATAGCAATAGCAGTTAGACTTACATACCGCTTCATAGGGCTTTCAGCCCTAAGCGGTTTACAGTCAGCATATTGCCCCCAACAACAATCCNCAATTCAGCCCACAGAACCTAAAGAGTTAATAAAGGCACAAAAGGCCCACTTAGCAGCTGCATTCATTCCCTTCTCCTTATTTTTCAGCTGGGCTGCTCAGTTTTTGTAGCTGCTCCTTGATCAAGTTACTAATTGTTTTTAAGCAATCCTTTTCCAAGCACCAGTACAATTCTAAAGGATCAGCTTACTATGAGACTTTAAAAGATTGAACCAGATCTGGATTTCTTCTCAGCATTATCAAAATACCAAAATTACAAATACTTAAAGAGTGCAGTTGAGTGAAATTACTCACCCGTAGATCTGTTTACAGGTAGATTGATTTAGTGCAGCTTTTCGGTTAGCAAGCTGATACAATCACTTAGAAATTAACTTTCTGCCAAAAGTTACATTAAAAAGACTCTTGAATATTTTAAAATATCTCAGCAAATGACTAGAAGGCACATGGCAGTTGTACACTTTAAATTATTAGGGCTACGTAGCACTTCCAATTCAGATACTCTGGAGTTCCTGGAGATACAAATTTAGAACCTGCCTACAATTGCAAAATATAAATGCATTTTCCCCAGAATTAGGTTATACAACAGAAATCAAGAGGCTAATGCTAAACTAACACATGGTTTTAATGACACTTCATAGCAGCTGTTTACAATTCCAAAACATAAATGCATTTTCCCCAGAATGAGGTTATACAACAGAGATCAAGAGGCTAATGCTAGACTAGCACATGGCTTTAATGATACTTCATAGCAGCTCACCTTCATGGAAAATGTGTAGCTTTTTTTGGTAGGGGAAGGAAAACTTTGGGGAGAGAAATAGTGGACTGAAGACAGCTCAGTGAAAAAGAGTTATGATTTATGGGGCAATGAAGAGCTGGTGACTGGTGAGCTGGCTCTTGATAATTAATGCAGCCGCGCGAGCGATCGTGGGTGCNGGTCCACTGGTGGAACCTCTTCTAACCGGTTCGGTAGATTTGACGAACCGGTTCTACCGAACTGGTGCGAACCAGTAGGAACCCACCTCTGTCCTATTCATATTTTTAGCATTTATCAAGTCTACATTTCTTCTAGCCTTCCAGTTCAAGTATGATGAAGTTTCAAATCTTGGTAATAAAGTAATTAGAAATAAATATCATCACCCAGTTCTGTCCCAAGTAACATCTGGTAAAATAAATTAATTCGCATTTTGACCTGGATTCTAAACTGAGACACGAATTTGGGATTTTTCAGAATATTATATACGATACCAACCTCATACATTGTGCATATGTGTGGTACATTTGCAGAATTTATACAATTTATGTGCAGAAAATGTTATTCTGTAGCTGCTTTTTATGTAGGAGAACCAGAGATGGGTTGCTACTGGTTCACACCAGTTCTGGCGAACCAGTAGTGGAAATTGCTACTGAGTTGCCGAACCGGTAGGTGATGGCAAGTTTGCCACGCCCCCTACCTGGTTCCCCAGTTGCCACAGCATGTATTTTTGATATTTTCAATGTTCTGCGCATGCACAGACCTATTTACTGTGCATGTGTGCGAGCAAAGCTCATGCGTGCATGCAAATCACACATGCACCAAATCAGTAGTAATGCCAGGAGAAACCCACCCCTGAGGAGAACTACATAAACATAAACTACATGGATAAGGTTAAGGATGACTTTGTTCTCAGTCCTGGGAAATGTTGTTGGTTTGGTAATAGAAAGGCTGCCCAGTGCAAACACCATTTCTAGAAGGAGAACCTGAAAGTAAAATGGTAGCTCATAACTTGGTCCTTCAGAATGGCGTATTGCCATTTTAAACCTTTATAGACAATCAATTGCCTTGGGTCAGATTTGTTTTCAATACTTTGTTGGCTTGTATCCCAATGATGAATGGATCTGGTTGCATTCTATATTAGAAAAGAACAAAACTATGGACTATGTTGGTGGTTCTTAACCTTTTCTGCTCTATGGACTGCCTTTAAATACCTTTTGTGGCCATGGAACACAAAGACTTAACTCAAGATTTAAGCCATAATATTCTTCAAGCCTTTGTAGGCTCCCTGTGATGGTATTGCACCCGCCCCCCCTGGGGTCCCCGGAACACAGGTGGAGAACCACTGATTTATGTGAGACGTTTCCAAGCTTGTTGAAATAAACGAACCAAATTATTTAGGATTATATGGAAAATTGTGTACTAAAATATAAGCTTCACTGAACTCAAGCAAATATTCAGAAGATATTCTGCGTAACGAGGGAAGTGGTGGCTGAGTGGCTAAGACGCTGAACTTGTCAATAAGAAAGGTCGGCAGTTCAGCAGTTCGAATCCCTAGTGCCGTGTAACGGAGTGAGCTCCCGTTACTTGTCCCAGCTTTTGCCAACCTAGCAGTTCAAAAGCATGTAAAAATGCAAGTAGAAAAATAGGAACCACTTTTGGTGGGTAGGTAATAGCGTTCTGTGTGCCTCTGGCGTTTAGTCATGCTGGCCACATAACCAAGGAGACATCTTCGAAAAGCGCTGGCTCTTCAACTTTGAAACGGAGATGGGCACCGCCCCCTAGAGTCAGGAACGACTAGCACATACGTGTGAGAGAAACCTTTACCTTTTTATTCTGTATAACATAATCCTAAACAGAGTAATATGGTAATAAATACCACTGATTTTGTTGAATAAGAAACAAGAAGTTAAAGCTATATAAATTTGATTAATAAATAAATACTGTATGTTTCCCAGTTTCCGTAATCTTTACCACCTCTAGGATTGTTGAATGGAAATAGATATTGCTGAGTGGGAAGAACTCAACTTGATTATCAAAGCATTGATGATTTGGCTTAATTTAAAGATACTGCATTGTCTATCAATTTGAAATTAAACCTTCAGGGTATCTGTGTTATTGATTCCCTAAAATTTAGCTTTTCCTTACTGACAGCGGATCAACACCATCTTGCTGTATGCTCAATTGTTCAATTGCTCAATTTACTTTTATATTTCCTATTCGATTTTCCCCCTTTTAATTTGCAGTGGCTGAATTCTTAGAACACAACAACACTGTATTTTCATCTTAGACAACACTGACCATCTACATTTTAATATTTAAAGTTGAAATGAGTTTTTCTACAATTTTACCTTTTCTTTTCTTTAAATATTTTTTTTTCTGTAGCCTCTGGTACTCATTTATTTACAAAGAGAGAGGACTGTAATCATATATCCTGATGCTACCAGGTGGTGCTATAGCAATTATGTGTTTTTTCACTTTTACACAATAATTGCCAGAGAGTAACACCGATATGGCAAGCATATCTTTCTCAAACATGCAGTCTAAAACACATTTTTTTTAAAAATATTTATTTAGAGAATTTATAGGTCTACCCATGTTAAATATATAATCCTAAGAAGCTAAGAACAGTCTATAAGTATACAGTACATTATATATAGACTTACATAGAACTATATCACACCACATAAAAAATAAAAAATAATCATAAATAAATGACCTAAGCAGCATATGGAACTTACAAAGCAGCTGCAGATAGCCATGGTGGTGCAGTGGTTAGAGTGCAGTACTGCAGGCTACTTCTCCTGATCACCAGCTGCCAGCAGTTTGGCAGATCGAATCTCGCCAGGCTCAAGGTTGACTCAGCCTTCCATCCTTCCAAGGTTGGTAAGATGAGGACCTAGATTGTTGGGGGGCAATATGCCGACTCTGTAAACTGCTTCGAGAGGGCTGTAAAGCACTGTGAAGCGGTATATAAGTCTAAGTGATATTGCTCTATAATATAGAGTTCAACTAAAAACCTGACCCAATCTTTGTGAGAAGAACCAGTTCATCACAACTTTCCAAAAGGCCAGGATAGCTGAGTGCATCTCATGGTGAAGTGCTCCGTAACAGATGGATCTGATTTTTAAAAAAATATCTAGCTCACATACAGGCTAGATGGCAACAGAACTCAATGCTAAATAATAGTGATCACAAAGAAAACTCAGTAGTTAATACATCTGGTTATCGTGACAAATATTCTAATGTTGTAAGCATCATTACTATTTATCACATCAAAGCATACCTTAACAACAAACCATGGCTTTTCTTGACATAGGGGAGGAAATCGGGGCAATTCACATATTTTGGACTTCTTCAGCCCCATCCTACATAGTCAGAATCAAATAAGCATGGGATCTATATCCCAGATGTTTGAAGGGTTCCAAATTGACTACTTCTGACTTAAAGAAATGGCTTATGATCAGAATTGGCTACAAAGGTTATGTAGGACTTCATTGTGTTTTTCAAAAATAATTTATTGTTTCAATGCATCCATTTTTTTTAATAAAAAGTAATTGTCTCCTTGAATTTTCAGAACTTCTTTCAAATAGTTAGCAACCTTCTGGATGAAGAAAACAAAGAAAAATGGGAAGATGCACAGCAGGTAAATATCCATCGTGCTATTGACATTTCCTCTTTTCTGCTTCAAAAGGATTGTTGTTGATTCATCAGTCAAAGATCATCCTAGTTGGCCTGCAAGGACTGTGCGTCTAGCGAGTGTATGTTTTCACCTCTTGAATTGTCAAATATGTAGGTTTCAAGGCTATGAATAATTGCTACTGCTCATGAAGTTATAGCCTGAAGGGCAACGTAACTTTATTGAAAAAAAAAGAATCAGAGAGAATTAAGACTTCATGTTCTGCTTGTATTTAATTGATGGTACACCAAAGAGATATTTGGCCTGTTCCATCCATGCTCTTTTTCTATACTTATATGGACATTAAGGGGGTATGATGTCTCAATGGTAAAGACATTGAGCTTGTCAGTTGAAAAACTGACAGCCCAGGTTCAAGACCTGAATGCCACGTGACAAGATGAGTTCCTGTCCTTGCCCTAGCTCCTGCCCACCTAGCAATTCCAAAACTTGTAAATGCAAGTAGATAAATAGGTACCACTTTGGTGGGAAGGTAACAACGTTCCTTCTGCTTTGGTATATAGTCATCCTGGCCATATGATCACATAAATGTCTTCAGACAACACTGGTTCTCTTGGCTAAGAAACACCGATGAAAAACACAGATGAACACCACCCCCTATAGTCGGACACGACTGGAGTGGGGGAACCTTTACCTCTCTTGACTTTATGATATAAATATTGTAATTGACTAAAGTTTCCTCGTTTGTCCCAGACTTAGTATATTTGCACATGTATAATTCAGAATGCTTAAAAGACAACATAACAAGATAGATTGTCAGGAAAGAAATGACTGGTTTGCCACAAGATGTCATTAGATTAAATATTCATTGTTTGTTATAAACCATATATGCATATTTTATAACTTATGGGATGATATATTTGGCAGGAGCACTTTCAGAAATCCTTCAGTAGGATTTTAGATTTACCATAATGAGTTTTTAAAGATATATATTTAAGACAGTTAGCCTTAAGTGAGTGACATCCATCCAATAATGCTGCAAAATAATTGTTTAAAATAGTTCTCCACCTTTGTCCAAAAATAAAATATCTGAAAAGATACACATGCAAATGATATGTGTAAAGTTAGCATGTAAAGGCCAAATCAAAAATAATGCGCAATTAATTCAACTGCTTCTTCATCTTTTGATTTTAAGAATTTATGTATCAATTTTTGTCGATATCTATTTATCATCCATTCTCTCTCCCCCCCCCATATTTAATTGACTTTGCATAACTGCTCTCCAGGAATGGAACAGTCAAAATTTTATTCTTTTTATCATGAGTTGAACACATTTTCCTTTTGATTTTTTATTAAGAGAACTTGCAATGCCAAATTACCTACATTGTAATAATGACTGTAAATTTATACACTGAATCAAAAAAATAACAGTGTGCTAAATTCATCAGGAAACTCAAGCAGGTCCCTTCTACTTCTCCCAGGAGGTTCTCGTTTAACTCTCATTGTATTCCAAAAGATCCCCTACCTTTCAGTGCACATATGACAATCCATTTTAGATGTTTCTGGGGAAAACAAGGTTGATCCATGAGAGCATGTACTATTGCTGAAAAGGCGCCCAATTGTTATAGCTTTCATTCATTTTTGTCATGCTGCTGGTGATTATTTGTACAAATTGGGACCCTGCAGTTACTGAGCGTGAGACCTTCTATTTTTCATCCTAAAGATCTACCACGGCTCCATAGAACTAATGCAGGTGATTGAAGATTTTATACACATTGTTGGAATGGGGATGATGGACTTTCAGAATTCGTACTTAATGACTGGAAATGTAGGTAAGAAATAGGAATGTCTTTCACCACATACATATTTTAAGCTTTCTTAAAAAGTCATATCATGCAAATATGATTTATGTGATAAATAAGATTGAGATTCATCCTCTATTACAAATGTTATTTTTTTGTATTGGTCATCAAGGCATGTATATGCCTGCTGTGCCGGCAGGCCTGGGGTTGATGAGTTCCCCTCCCCTCTCGACTTGTATGGCTGTATGATTCTTGTATATTTTTATTACGTGTATTGTGTTTTATGTTCCCCTTTTCCCCCTTTTGAGTTGTTCGCCGCCCTGAGTCCCTCCCGGAGAAGGGCAGCATACAAATAAACTAAATCTAATCTAATCTAATCTATATTATGTTCCCTTTTGATATACACATTGGTAGTAAGTGAAGTTGCCGATATCACAGGAAGAAATAAACCTATTCTGAAATTACTTTTGCAGCTTTCCTAATAAAGTTCCAATTCTGTTATATGTAATGTTACACAAAAAGGGCTGTTTCTTCCTCTGAAACTAAAATATGAGGCACTTTAATGGAGACCCATGTAAGTAAATAAAATGGATTTCATAAACGAAAATTTCTCCAAGAAGCAACAATCTATTATAAGTCTGAAGAGATTCTTAGTCATNAAACAGCATAATGAAATAAGAGAAAGTGTGGCAGGCCAAAATTCTAAAAGGAATATAATTGCAGGCGTGACAGCCATTACATATTTCCTGCCATGTTGTATGGAGCTTGAGTACGATCCTACCACATGAACTATTTCTTCACAGCCATCTACTAGAACATATATCATTTTCACAAGGGAAAAATGGGTCAGAATAGTAGCTTAGCCTTCTCCTTGATGTGTTTCCATTGCTATATGTCTATGGAGATTCACATCCTGGTTACGGTTTTCCCAAAGGTGCTTTATTCAAGAGGCAACTGGACTTTTTGGGTTTTCTTTGAAGACATTTTGCTTCTCATCCAAGAAGCTTCTTCAGCTCTTAAGAAGCTTCTTGGATGAGAAGCGAAGCGTCTTCAATGAAAAAAGACAACCCAGTTGCCTCTTGAAAAAAGCACCTTTGGGTTTTCTTTGCTATCTTCACAGAGTAGCTGGCGTACTCTTTTTTCTTCCTTTTATTTTTACTCTGTAGTATTTGAAGAAACCCTTTTGATGCTTTCAACATCCTTTGCTAATCTCAGCTCACTGTGAAGGCTTCCTTTTTTTGATTTCACCTCTATAAATCTGCTACTTGTATGAGCTCATCCTTGGTGATTTGTTCCTCTTTCTGCCACATCATTGCATCTTGGTTTGGGATTCTTTTTCAACTAAAACTTTTTTTTTCTTCAGACATGTTGGCTTTTTCTAATGCCCTTCATTTTCTTTCCTTATTAGAATTATTGATCTTTGAGTATCTTCATGTTATCATGTTCTGTCAAATTTTCCTGGAAGGACCTTACTTGACAGAGTCTTGACCAACAGATAACTTGGAATTTCTGAAGGGCCATGAAGTATCCTGAGTTATTTTTTTTTAAATGAAAGTTAGATGTTGTTTGATTCCAGAAGAACTCTTTGAAGCTTGCATTAATGTAGCTTCTAAATGATCTTCAAGGCAGTCCCTTGTAGAGTGCAATTATGGGACAATTTCAACATGAATGACAGATTTAAGTGCTCCCAATGCAAATTAGGTACAACTGGTGCACCAATTGGAGCTGGGCAAAGACTGCTTGTATTTCCACTGATCCAAGTAGGTGCTTTGAGTTCAAGATGATCCCCAGGTTGTGTACCAGCCTAGAGAGCAGGAGTAGAACCCCATCAAAGACTAAGGCTGGAAACTCCCCAGCTCTAAGTAGAATCAAAAATCAACAGCCACTAGGTTTTGAGTCTGAGTCTGTTCTTCCTTATCCATATCTACAGCTTCCAGTTACTATTGACAGCATCATTAGGTTGATCTGGACTTTTGATCTGCAACTAAATATCACCTATAGATTGCAAATAACAAAGCCTGAAGTGGAGGATGATCTCCCTCAGAAGTTTAATAGATTTTATAGATGTTATAGGAGGAGTTAAAGCACTGAGCTTTAAGGCACACTATAGATGAGGGCCCAAAAATGTAACCATTGCCAACACCAGCACAAACTAAATATCAGGCAAGGAGGAGAACTATTGTAACATGGTGCCGTCAGCTCCCAAAATCCTCAGCTAGTCTAGAAGAATACCATGATGGACACACACACACAAACACACACACACACAGAGAGAGAGAGAGAGCTCTGCCAAAATCATTAGCAGGAATATGCTGTCTCCATGCTGAACCCCAGCCTTAAACCAAACTACAATTGGTTCAGATGAATAGTTGCAGAGATTTTTTCCTCCCTGCTACTTCAATCTTCCAGTGAAAGTATGTACTGTGCATAAAAAGGATCAGGATTTTTTTTTTCAGAAAAGGTTCAGGATTTTTTTTTAGACAAGTATTTGTATTAGGACTAGATACATTAAAATGGAATATAAATGTAGTCAAATTTTATTCAAATTTAGCGAAGAGGGAAGGAGACACATTTGGGCTGGCCTCATGACTGTTACATGGTGTGTTTCTGCAGTTTCTGCAGTATGT